GGCAATTGCCAGAATTAAAGGACAGGAAGAGGAAACAACTCAAGTGTCCATCAACAGACGGATGGATAAACAAAATGTGGCATATTCATTCAATGGAGTATTATTCAGCAATGGAAAGGAAGAGAATTCAGGCTACTCCATGGATGGACACAGAAGATACTATGCTGCGTGAAATGATCCATACATGACCAATATTGGAGGGTTCAACTTGTATAAGAAAACTGGGTTAGTTTGATTCGGAGACAGAGAGCAAAATGGTGGTGGCCAGGGGTTGGGGGGAGGAGGAAATGGGGAGTTATTATCTAAAGGGCCAGAGTGTCACTTTGGAAAGATGAAAATGCTCCATATATGGGTGGTGGTGATGGCTGCACACCATGTGAATGCACTTATTGCCCCTGAATGGCACACTTAAAAATGGCCAAAATTAAAAATAGAAAAAAAAAAAAGAGGGAATGAGAAGAGAGCAGGGCTGTTGACTTCCCCATGCCAATTGACATACTCGTTACTTGCCAAGTTCAAGTACAAAATTATGTTTCAAGGTAAAGATGTTGTGAGTCTTATATATGGTCAGAAATAGCTTTTAAATAACTCTACTCCAATTCCCCCTCCTCCACAAGATTCTCTTAAGATGAAATTCCAGTTAGATGGAGAATCTCATTCACATCACCATAGCTCAAAATCAAGATGAGGCAAAGGTGTGTCCCTGCCCTTCTTTCACTCACTTACTGTAGTTGGCTTTAATGGGCATCATCCAGGTTTGTATCCCTGCACAATCTTCTGCCTGGACATTAGGGAATCTTTGCTTTGTCTTCTCTCTTGCCCTGAGCTGATGGCTTAGCAACCTGTACTCTACTCTATGGGATCCCAGGAGGAGAGATGACTCAGAAGCCTCCCCCTACAAGAGCTGGCTTGGTACATTCTCTGGGAAAGGTGAGCCCAGAAAGGGGAAATGCCCTGGACAAAAGCACTATAGTAAAATCTCTGAGTGCAGAGAGGCAGAGGACATGGCTACTCACTGAACCTGCAAATAGCTCTGTGCTCTATCTGGACAAATTTTGAGAACAAGACTGATTTGCTGATTGATCTGCCAGAAACTCTGATTTCTCAGTTGAGGAGCCCATGTTCAAATTGTGCAAAAAATGTTCCATCTCAATTGAGTGGTCCTTAAACTAGAGGTAGAATAGAGAAGAATTAGACAAGATGGCATGGTGGCATGGTGGCATGGTGGTGAGAGTCTTTAGATATCACATGTGCAAACACACACACGCACACACATCTGTATATTCAACAAAGTCTCCCAAATGTTCAGATAACTATTACTTCTTAATGGTAAAATAGAAAACAGTACTCCCTCCCCGAGCACACAGCCCAGGGACACCCTTGGATAGAGCTATGATTCAGGTCCATGAGTCTCACAAGTGTTTCTGCTCCTAAAGCCACTCTTGATTAAGGAGGAACAGCATGACTTCAGCCATGACCCTTGTAGGTGGAGCTGCATTTCATGGCGTATGCACTACCACAGTGAGCCTCTTCTCTTTTTCTATACCAAGTTCACCTGGGTAATCTTTCCTCAGCTCTCTCTCCTGGAGCCCATATGGGGTGATTCATGACTGATCACCTAAATGTAGCATTCCACGTTTTAAGTATAAATTTCAACATCATTTCCAAGAACTGTACCATCAAACAACTCAGGTCAGCTCAGAGATCTGCAGTGATGTCCCCAGATCCTGTATGGACTTGATCATTGGTTTCTGTACACACTGTTGAAATGACCACTTGGTTTTCCAACACCACAACCTCAAGCTGGCATGCAGAATGCACCCCTTCTCACTCTTGCCACTATCTACCTAGTAACAGTTGTGCCATATAGTCTCTTAAAAAACTTTTGGGCTCACATGATGCCTTTGTTGTGTAATACATTCAGCAAGACATTCCTACTACACAGTGGGGCAGGGTAAGCTATGCAGATAGAAGTCAGAAAGTAATGGGGTTAGAGGAGAGAAATATTGATTGGAAAGAAGCATGAGGGAACTTCTGTATATCTCATTGAGGTTAAATGAGTACTCACAGTTGTCAAAACTTACTAATCTGAATATTGAAGATCTGTGCATTGCCAGTCACAGTGATTCACACCTGTAATCCCAGCAGCTCTGGAGGCTGAGGTAGGAGCATCGGGAGTTCAAAGCCAACCTCAACAACTTAGCAAGGCCCTAAGAAACTTAGTGAGATCCTATCTCTAAATAATTTTTTTTAAAAAGGAGGGGCAGGGGATATGGTCAGTGAACAAATGTCCCTAGGTTCAAACCTCAGTACAAAAAAAAAAAAACAACTGTGCATTTTATTATATGCAAATTATACCCATTCTTTTAAAGTTATAATGGCCAGTTCCAGGTAAAGATGGCAACCTACAGTCATGGAGAACAGGGCAGGATGCTGACCTTCTCTACTCCACCTTTCCTCACCATCTCTCATCTCTCTGGATCTCAGGGGCAGTCCAGCAGGCTCTCTGCTGTTCAGTGCAGGAGGCACAGATTTCAGAACACAGTGGCTTTCTCACTAGGACTCTGGCCAAATATGAGTGGTAGGGTTCCTGGGGGAGGAGGGATTTGTATGATGGGTGGGTTTCTAGCTTCTCCTTCTCTTTAGTCATTCTCTCCACATTCTGAGCCACAAGGACTCAATGAAGATGGCCCTGGAGACGGTTCTTAGGAGAGAAAAGTCAAATGCCCAAAAGCAACACTTCTATGGCAATATGCCCTGGGAATAGTGACTTCAATGGTGGCAGTCAGGTGCCTGACACGGACCCTGGGCTCACTGTTCACAGAAGGTGCAGAGGGATCTTCACCTGGCTTCTGGTCATCTTCTTGGCCGTGACCTACAGGCCAATGGCACCTTGAGACTCCTGGCTGATTCCCATTCTTCAGAGGCCATGCTTTATATGGAATTCTCTAGAAGATTCTGATTACTAATCTGTCTGCTGGGAGCACTCCATCCCTGCTCTCCCACACATGAGCCTGTCTACATTTTTACAGGTGATGAACTATTAGTAGACCAAAAGTTCTATTTCCACTTTTGCTACCCTCTGGCCTCTCACTTTAAACGTCTATATCTCTCCTTTTTTAAAAAACTGGGCCTGATAATGTCACCGAGCACTTCTTTCACTGAGAATTTAGAAGCATTAATGAGATAATGACTACTAAGTATGGGGACTTCCGTAATAAATGGTGGCTTTAGACAGGGTCCATTGCAAGGGCATAAGTTTTTTAAATCTTCAGGGACATGTCATATAGAAATCCATTCACTTACTTGTTCAAACTGTGGAATTTCAAGGACAGAAGAATTTGGGAGAGTTGAAATATGAATGAGTCAGTGTTGGTTTCTGATTCTCTATTTCCATACTTTTCCCCACCATTCCAACCTCCGATGTCACTCTCTTTTCTTCACTATGTTCTACTACCTGCCATTCTAAGGAGACACTGAAGTTTCTGTATCTAATGCTAAGCATAGTAAAAAAGAGAAGGGGTGCTGTCTCAAAACGATGTCTCTCATTTACAAGGGTCCCTAAGCAAAGGCAGGGAGTATTTTCTTCACCTTGGAGGAGGGATCCAGGGTGCTGAATTAAGAAGAGAACAAAGAACCATAACACTAAGGTTCATTCAGGTTGGAAAGAATGAATCACACCTCCCGTGTCTTGGCATACTTGAAAAAAGTGACCAGAACCTTAAACAGTTAAGAGACCAGATCAAGGCAAAGGTTGATCTTTAAAAAGCCACATCTCCTTACCTCTTGGAATACTGATTTCACGGAAACTCGGGCAGTTGAAAATCCCCAATACCACTTGTTGAACAGCCCCACCCAAGGGGGTTTTGGCAGAACTGAAGCCAGTGGGGGTATGCAGACAGTATCTCCAAGGGAAAAGCAAGGCAGATGGGGGAATTGACTAAATACTCCCAGAAGCAGGAAGCAGGAGGCTACAGCAGTACTTTGCAAAAGTAGCAGCAATGAGGATCTTCTGTTTGTGGAGCCTGGGTGCTGGGGGAGCACAGGGCACCACTTCAAGCCCTCCTGAGTCAGGGGCCAAAGTTCATGTCTTTTTCTCTGAACACGTGAAGTCAAACCTTTCTTCTGGGCTATTTTTCACTGCCAAATGCCCCAGAAAACAGGACAGAACAGACTTTTGTCCTCTTTCCAACTGCATATAGCCAAGAATGACAGAAAAGTGGAAGGTTGCTTCCAGATCCCTGCAACTGTAGTAGGATCCACATCAGCCAACCTCGGAAAAGCTCAAGGCACAACCACTTTCCTTCCATCATGAAGTCAGAGAGACCTCCGCCCCCAAATGGCCCCAGCCTGCGGCTGACCTGTTGCACCTGCCCACCTGCCATGAATTCACTCCAGGAGAGAAACTAAAAGGTCACGTCAGGCTCTCTCCCCAGCAAGATCCCAGAGAATCCTGGGGAAACTGACATTTTTAAAATCACCTCTTTCAAGCTCCGTCAGAGGAGCACAACTTTTAACTCTACCTCCACTCCCAACCCCCGCCCCCCGCCCAGGCTTCCTTTTCAATACTTTCCTCCATTGAAGGGAGGGCTTGGCGAGAAAGAGTTAAAAAAAAAAAGGTGCACGACTAATCGACTAATTCCCCAAACCCTCTCTCTAATCTACATACAAAAAGAACAGCCTTGCGCGAGATGCAGAAACCTCCAGCAATTTAGCTCAGCCCTCACCTGTCTTATGCAACAGTACACACACAGACGCTCCGCACATCCGCAAGGCCCGGTCCACAGCCCCCTTTAATTCGGGAGACATAGTTTTGCGCCTTTCTTTTCCCTACGCAGAACCCAGCTCCACTGGCAGCAGAGAGAAATGTAACCTTAGTGCCAAACGCCTGGCAGGAACACAGAGACGACACACAGACACCAAAATGCACCTCGTTGCTCTCCTTGGTGCTGAAATCACATTAGCGAGGAAAGGAAGGAGGCAGAGTGCCCCGGACTTACCCGGGCCGGTGCCGGCTGGAGCAGAGCGGCTCCCTGGGAAGGATTCCTGTGTGTTCGGCTGAGCCAGCTGATGCGCTCACCTAGAGCCCACCTCGCTCGCTTCTCTTCCCTTCCTCCTTCTCCGAGAGGAAGGGAGCAGGCTCCAAGACAGGAACGAAATCCAAGCCGGCAGGGCTGCGAGTGGAAGGAGAAGCGGAGGCAGCCCCAATAAGATCAAAAAGTCAGGCGGCTTGCTCCACCAGTGGTAACTGGTCGGGTCAGGGAGGACCCCCGGCTCTTCCTCTCCTGGGTCTGCTCCTGCCTGTCTCTGCGTGTTGAGCCAACAGCCTTAGCACAGTCGGTTCCTGCCTCTGACGTGAACGAGATGAGGAAGCCTGGGACTGCTCTGCTGTCTCTCTCTCACGCGCTCTCTCTTTTCCCCTCTTGCTGAAATTTCAGCAGCGTATTTTTTTTAAGCCTCCGTTTTTCCCATTCCTCTGCCAGCAGCCCCCTAGTGGACAGAAAAGAAAAACACCCTGGGTCCTCTTGAACAGTCTGGATTCAGGCACAGCAATACTCCTGCACCCACTAACTCCAGGGGGCTGCCTCTGCAAAGCCAGGGTCCAGAAGAGGGCAGAGTCTTCCCTCTGGCCAACACTGGCCGGAGGAGGGAGGGAAGGGACGGGGAGATCTTGCAGATCCTTTGGAAGGAGAAGTAAAGCGGGAATTTGGGAAGGGGTGGGGCTTGGTGGGGGACAGAATGTTTTGGAATAAGGCGAGTTGTGAGTTTCTCTAGTAGTTTAAGTTCCTGGCTCAGCAGAAGAAATCCTCCAAAGAGTCAGGTGAGGAATGTGTGTGCCCAGCACAACCCAGAGATGGCAGTGCTTAAAGAGGCAGGGAATGCAGGAGGCCAAGGAGAACATCTCCTGCCAGCACCCCGTCCAAATCCATAAGATGGCTCTTTTGAGAGCTAGTAAGAAGAAATATCCTTAGATCATCTCAGAGGTAGGAATGGAAGTGACCCTGTAGAGCATCCATGGAGAACCTTGTCTGACAAGGAGCCTCAAGGGGTCACTTCTCACAGGCTCACTCACTTTGAAGTGCACAGTCTCACAGCCTCTGGAAAGTGTCCTAGGACTTGCATCTGCAGACTCGACTCGAGCCCTAGTTTCAGACTGCCACTCATCTACTGGACACTCTGCTTCTCTATGGCTCGGTTCCACTGTTTGTAAAATGTGGATAGTGCTGCCCCCTCCCTACTGAATAGGGATGTGGATGGATCAGAGTGGAATAGAGACAGAACTCAGACTGGCAGGAAATTTAAAGGCAATCTTGTTTAAACACTCTTCTTCTGTTTGATTCACCCTTGGTAAATAATAACAGCTAACATTTATATTTATACCAGGTGCTAGGCAGTACCATAAGCTCTCACCTGTCTTAGCTCATTTAACCCATATGATCATCCTAATGTAAATGCTATTATTGCATTTGATAAACTAGGAAACTGAGGCACAGAGTGATATAACTTGCCCTAGATCACACAGTTAGTGCATATCAGGGATGGCATTAGAACATGGGACATCTGAACCTGGAACTTTCTCTGATAACCACTATACCTCTAAAATAAACAGAAAATAACAATAAACCATGGTTTGTGTTGCTTTTATTTATGATAAAGTGCCTAGGTTGTTATAATGAATTTATGTGCAGCTGAGGTTTGTTTTTAATTATTTACAACTACTGATACCACACAAACTTTCATAATTGCTCTTCCTGATGAGAATCCCATAAGAAAAATAATTCTCTTGGAGATTTGGGTAGTTTTACCGTCACAAAAATTATCACAAATCCCATGAAATTGGAAACTATCGGGATTTAGCATCAGGTCAGATGACACATCACTCAATTTCTGTATCAATAGCAGATCACTGCTGGGTGCCTAACACAGTGTACAGGTGGAGCCAGCAACCTAATGAGTCTCATTGTCACCATGCGAGCTAATAAGCCCTCAGTGAGGCACTGGCCCTTCTTACCTACTATGAATTACGAATTCCTTGCCTAATGAGGCTCACTTTAGTTTTACTTTCTTTGCATCAAAAGTGAACTGGGCAGAGCCAAGATGGAATGGGATGCTAAGAAATCCTGGCTCCTGTCTTCATGGAGTTTGCAGCTTCTCAAAGTGGGGAGAAGAGTGAGTGAGCACACGGAAAAGCACTTAACCCAGTCTGAGGCCTGCTGGGCTGCCCAGCACGCTGGCACCTGAGCTGAGGCCTGAGAAGTTCTCTCAGCAGAGAGGGGGCGAGAGTGGAGCCGAAGGCGTGAGTGTGCAAACTCATGGGGGTTGGAGAGAGCCCAGCATCAAGTTTTCAAGGCTAACATCACCATCCCATTTATAGCTGGGGAAACTGAGGCCCAGGCAAGTGGAATGTGCAAGGTCACCCATCTAATACAGATCTAAGCACCCAAAGATCAAAAGCATCAAAGCAAATGTCTTTGGCTCTTATGCTATCTGCTTTGGGGAGGCACAGTGATGGCTTCTCCTATCACTTGAACCCGCATGTGGGGTGTTTCAATAGCACAGTCACTAAGTGAGGATGTGGCATCTTCAAGGAAGCAGGATGTGTGATCTGTTATCAGATGAGAAGACCACCAAGAAGGCACCAGGCAGTTCAGAAAAGGAAAAACTCAGGATGGTAGATTTTACAGCTGGATGTAAATTGACGAGGTATATTAGAAAATGGGATTGTTTCAGAACAACAAAGACATTAGAGACTTGCATTTGAAAGGAGAAGAATGTGAAAAGGGGCCAAAAGAGTTTGAGACCAAGTGGTGGGAGCCCAGAGGAGGAGGAGATCCTGTTGCCTGGAAGGGATTATGAGGCCTTCACACAAGAAGTGGCCATTCATCTGGACCTTAAAGAATGTGGGTTCAGGAAATGGTGCACCGTTGGACCCAGACATTAAATAAATACATGGAAAATGTGAGCTCTGAGCTGCATTGAACAGCAGTGGGACATGGATTAAAAGAAAAGTAAAAAAGTTATCATAGGCTGAAAGATGTCAAGCTTTGGAAGATGAATGGGTTTGGGAAGAGTGGTGGGAAAGTGAGGGTCTTAGTCAGCTATGTCACTGGTGTGACTAAAATACCCAACCAGAACAATTATAGAGAAGAAAAAACTTATTTAGGGGCTTATAGTTTCAGAGGTCTCAATCCATAGACAGCAGACTCCATTCCTCAGGGCTTGAGGTGAGGCTGAACATCATGGAGGAACAGTATAGCAGAGGGAATCAGCTCACATCATGATTAGGAAGCAGAGAGACTCCCCTCTCCAGATACAAAATATATATCCAATAGCCATGCCCCCAATGGCCACTTCCTCCAGCCACACCCCACCTGCCTCCAGTTACCACCCAGTTAATCCCACCAGGGATCAATTCACTGATTAGGTTAAGGCTAGACCCCAGTCATTTCTCCTCCTTCTCACATTGATTCACATATGAGCTTTTGGGGGACACCACATCTAAACCGTAACAGTGAGATTGGTGGATAAATTTGGTTTGGGACAGGCCAAGTTTGGGGAAGGTCCAAATATGTATTGTGATATAAATGTCTAGGCGGTGACTGGAGTATAATCTCTGGAGCCCAGGTTGAGTTCTGGGGTTGGCAATGTAGACCCGAAGCCCATTTTCTTGGACCTGCTTTTTGTTTGGACAGAGGCCCTCCACAGGAGAAAACCAGGAGTACTAAAGACAGGATCTCAGCTCTGCTTTCTTAATCCCTGGATCAGGCTTTATGCTTCCTTAGTCCTTAGAGATAAAATGCTTGATGCTCAGGAGATATCTACAAAATACTTTTTGATTGGTTCATAACAACATGTATTTTACCTAACCCAAATGTATTAGGTAAAAATAACATTGGGCCAAGATCAGTTATTGGTACCTTCTGTCCCACACTTACGGACAAGGCTTCTCCATCACAATCCTCTTTGATTGTCAGTGGATCTTTCTTTCTTTATATGTGGTGCTGAGGATTGAACCCAGGGCCTCACACCTGCCAGGCAAGCACTCTACCACTGAGCCATAGCTCCAGTCCCTCACAATCTCCTCTTGAAAGCTGGTAATCCCTGGCCTCTGGGCTTCGTTTGAGCACTCAGCCCCTAGCCCTCCTCTATATTGGCATTACTCTCCATCCACGCAAGTAGACAAAATGAAGCATTTCCTCAGCATTCAACTGTCCCCAGAGAATGAGAAGCCACAGTGTGGCCAGTCACCATGATGTCATTTCCCAATGAAAATCTATAGCATGGCCAACATTTCAGAAGGCCCTAGCATCCACCCTTCCAGAACTTGAGGGTGGACACGGGGACTCAAAAGGCATATCTATGGCTTTTTAATGGAAAAGGGAAGGGACCTAGGCCTCCATTTGGGGAGATGATGAACCACGGGGAGCCCTCACTTCCCAGGCTACCCACGGCCAATGTCATAGCACTGTTCCCAGGAAGAGGTTTGGTGTGAAGACCACATAAGGTAGGACTCTGACCAGCAGAGAACGAAGAGGAGCGGTAGGCAAGGTCTAGATGTCGGTCAGCTCCCAAAGCCATCGTGGCCAGGCAGTCCTTCGGCAGCAAGCCGTGTCATTTCCCAGCCCTTCCTTCTACGCAGTTTCTGACCTTCCCTCCATCCTTCCCCCATGTCTGAGTTTACTGGGCACGATAGTAGGATTATTACAACTGCCCTCCTGTGAAGACACAAACTGCTGGAGCCAGGACAGGCTTTGTCTTCAGGGAGCATCTGGCAGGACACTCTGGGGCTTAGGAACCCAGGAGGGGGAGGGGTTAGGGAAGAGGGCAGGGCCAGGGCAGATGCTTCCCACTGAGGAGGAGTCGGGTTGCTTGAAGAGAGTAGAGTGGGTAGAATGAGGTTCTTCCAGGTTGGAGACGTTGTTCCGGAGAAGATTTTCCCCACTTCACATCTTTTCCCCATAGCACAGGTAGGGAAGCTAGGTGCCTCCTGCAATCTTAAGCGACTCTGCCCACCAGCGGGGCGAAGGGCCTGCCCTGAGCCTCCTACTCTGTGCCTACACTCCTAATGACAATAGCCCACTCTCTGCCACACTCTGTAGAGAGGCCAGAAGTGGCATTCTGCCGGCAGGAAGTCCAGGAGTGTTAGGCATGGTGACCCAGCAGCTCCCCTAAAGCCATGACACAGCTTAGCCCTGTCCCAGAGGAGAGAGGACAAGAGTGGACAGAAGTCTCAGAGCCCCCTCCCACACCACAGTCCCTGACAGAGTGTGGACTAGCCGAGCCTCTGCAATGACTGGGAGATCACGTCCTCCCACCACCTACCTTATAGATAATCAGGAGCTGAGTGTTTAAGCCATCCTAGGGAAACTGCCCGGGGACTCCCTGACCTTCAACATAAGGGTGTTGGCCTACGTGATGCTCTCAGGGCCTGTGAGAAAGACCAGAGCAGAGAGCAGAAGCACCAGCACTCGGCGTGGTTATTAGTGGGA